GAACATTATTTGTACATAAACGTAATGACAAACCAATTAATTATGCTTTATAATTATCATTGGTAAAAACTAACATTTCAGAAACATTGAATAGAAATTATGATAATTCAATCAACATCGTACTCAAATATACCAATTTTTTTTTATGCAATGGCAAATACCATGGATTGAAAGGCTTAAATACATTATTATTTTTTTTTTTTCAATTCAATTCCTCACCTACCTCTCTTCGAATATATCCCTATGAAAAATTAAAACGTGTATTTATTTTTTAGATTCACTCAAGCTGAAATCCTTGTGTAACATCAATAAAGATCATTCATTTTATTCAGGAAATTCGAATTGACTGCAACGACTGCACACACTGATAATTATTTCCATACACGAGGGCGTCTGTCATTTTGAGGAATCAAAATTATTCAATACAAGCACGATGCACAAATTCGTTGCACAAATGAAACTAAAAGTTATTTAGAGTCTCACAGAAAGAGCACAGCGGAACAGAAGCATATAGTTACCGACTAAAGGGTGAAAACCTCGTGAAAACTGTCAAAATTCGCAATTCTAGGTCGTATGTTTTTGGGTGTATGATACATTGACATTCATCATACAGGGCGTGGAAGGAAATTCTGAATTGAGAGACTCTATCTCGAATCTGAGATTAGAGGTCTATAAAAATCACAATAAGTTTCCATCGTTCAAGTTTGAACTCCCTGATTGGGTATGAAAGTGTGGAAAAGGAATATTCTCAGATAAATTATGGACATACAAAAATAGATATATATTTATATGAAGCAATACATTGAGAATTCGCATTCTCTTTGTGATGAGAATATCTACTCTTTTTCAGTTTATTCATTTATTCCATTTATTGAACACACACGATGAGAGTTCGAAAATAAAATATAAAAACTTCTGAAATTGAGAATTTCTCCTTCAGACAGAAATATGTAGGTATATGCACACATCATTCTGAATATTAAACAGAAAACAACTACTTTACTGGCTATTTGCCACGTCAAACATTGAATTATATCTGATGAACATCCAAAAGGAGAACATAAAAAATAAAATCCTCCGAAATTGAGAATTGACATTCTTCTTCAAATCGGATGAATAATATGATGTATAATGATATAGAAATAAATATAACTTACCAATATATTCAGCATTGAAATGAAAATTGGAATGTTTAGGAAAAGTACCTATACTGGTTACTGATGAGGATTCAGAAATCCGAAATGGTTTCATTGCAATAAAGTCATATAACCTGTGTGTGAGAGATAATATTTCCCATATCACTGATATGAATGATTATTTTTGGAAGTTTTCAAGCTCAACAGGATCACAGTTTATGCCAATGTATTGTCACCGAAATTATGAACACCTGCCAAATTTCAATTTTATCGGAGTTATGGAATTTTTGTTGAAATTAAAAAAATGGCTGCTCCAAGATGGCGGACAAAATTTGGTCCGATTCCATTCAAAATTGGTAAGTGGGGGTTTTTGAGGTCGGAGATCATGATTTTTTTGTTAAAATTTATGAATTCAAGATGGCGGCTTCCGAATAATTTTTTGTTTTTGTATAAATGACGATAACTCCGTTGTTATCAACACAACGCTATTACTGCGACATATCATCTGTGAGAGAAAAAAAAAGTTATTTGTAACTAAGTCATAGTGAGCTATGACCTATACATTTGAAAAACTAAAGTTGGTGCTGATATCTCAAATTCTAGAAGAGTTGGTATAAATTTCATATTTTTCTCGAAATCACTTCGGAAAACTGCCATGAGAATGTGGAATTCCTATTTGAATATTTTCATAAATAAAGAAGTCACGGCGGAGACATGAAAATGATCAATAAAATCTGTTTTTTGCGTATAAAACAAAAACGAATAGATTTTATCAAAATATTTTTTCAAATTATAGTTGGCCTTGACAAACTCCACATTTGGTATCATTTAACCGACCTCGTATCTCTTACCGTTAAAAAGATACCCATGGTGAGTATGGTAAGTGGGACACACTGTATATTGCCGTGTCGTCGGCGTACAATGCTGTACTTGTTTGCTCGAATACAGGGAAATCATGCGTGTATATAGGGTATATAACAGAGGTGAGAGGCACGACCCCTGCGGAACACCTGCCTCGAGTGGAAAATCTCCCGATATACTTTCGTTGACCTTGACCCGGATTTTCCTATTGGTGATATATTATACATCGATAATCTTAATGATAAAAATCGTCATCCTAGCCTTATGCAGTTTGGACATTAGACCCTCGTGCCAGACGGTGTCGAATGCCTTTTCTACATCCATCATGACCATGACAGTGTTCTTGTTATTGGTGCTGGCCTCTTTGACCTCGTGAACAATTCGGGCCACTTGGGACACTGTGCTGTGCCCCTTGCGGAACCCGAACTGATCCTTAGGCTTTTCCACGTGGTGTGTTATGAGTCGTAAGAGGACTCTATCCACGATCTTGGCTACGGCGCTATGCAGTGATATGGGGCGGTATAGCCATTGGTGGAGTTTGGGTTCTTGCCCTGTTTTGGGATGGGTACAACAAACCTAGTCTTGAGGCATTCTGGGTAGTGCTGGCATTTAATGTTTGCATTAATGATGTAGTGCAATTGTACTTTGCGTGACATGTTCTTTAGGAGAACCATGTCAAGTCCATCAAGCTCTGGGGATTTATTGATATTTATATAAATGATGATCTCGAAGATTTCTTTGGGCGATATTATGCTTTTGCCCAGGGCTTGTCGCGAGAGCAAGATGTCCGGCGATGATCTTACCTATGCTGCTGTTGCCAACATGTCCACCTGGACCGCACCTGTTGGCCTTTTATCTATTTTAGATATTTTTTGAAAGTGTTTCCCAAGCACTATCGCCTTCTCCAGATCTGACACCGCTTCCTCGCGAGCATATTCCAGGGTAGGAATGGGTGTGGATCGCTTTTTTAACCTTTTTGTCATTCTCCATAGAGTATTCTCGCGAAGATCCAGACTCTCCAACTTGGCTCTCCAGGAGAATTTCATGAACTCACGAATTTCGCACTCGATGATTTGATTGCATATTCTCCTGAAGGCGCCTTTGGCTTCCGGGGTTTATGGCCGTTGCCATCGACCCCTCAGGATCTTGGTTTCTGCTATGTGCTCAAGAATTTCCTCCGGGAGTTCGTCCTTGTTGGAGTCAATGCTGACCAGTCGCGTGGTGGAATCTCTGGCCATCGTGATGTTTTTTATCAACTTCTCCATCTCTTGGTTGATATCTGCCCTATCGATGTTATTTTTTATAATGGTTTTTTGGTCAATCTGAGCTCTGAACATCTTCCAGTTTGTGTTCATGTGATCGAATATCTTCTTTATTACTTCAGGTGGTTTTTGTCCAAGCTCAAATATAACTGGAAGATGGTTCGAGCTCAGCTCGTTCACAACATCTAACTCACTTCCTTCCTAGTGACGTACCTATCTTCACGTATCCCTATTCAAATTTGCTCGACTACTCGTATTTGTACCTAGACTCTTGGTGTGAGCGTCGGCAAGATGTAAACGGAATAAATACATGTTGTCTAATGCCGATTATCCTACGTTGTTAGAAAACATATATTACACGCTTTTTTTCTACCAACCGTTATCGAATACATTCCAGAAAAAAGGTTTGAGTAATGTTCATTTCAAGTGTTCATTAAATTTTTTTGATAAACGTTAGTTCACTCTTTGGACTTTTGCCGGATCGATGAAAAGTAGTTTTGTATCTATGTAAAACACACGTTTTCGAAACACGAATGATATAGAATATAGTTTAACGACAACTTATATTACACGTTGACGAATAACAGTTGCAAAACATTGTTGAAAAACGTTTCATTCACGTTCTTTTTCTACTCTCGGCCAGAAAATGTTGACAGAAACGCATTACAGACATGTTTATTTCGAACGTCTAACTAACGTTTCGGAGAAACTTTTCATAAATGCATAATTTCAACAGATCGTCAGGACATATCGTTTTCAATACGTTCATGAAACGTTTAGATTCGACTTTATTTCAAGAGTTTAACAAACGTTTGGTACAAACGTTAGTTTTCCTTGAACAGTTCAATTTTGACATAGAATATAGTTCAACGACAACTTATATTACACGTTGACGAATAACAGATGAAAAACGTTGTTGAAAAACACATCATTCGCGTTCTACTTCTACTCTCGGTCAGAAAATGATGACAGATTCGCGTTAAAGAAACGTTTATTTCGAACGTTTAACTAACGTTTCGGAGAAACGTATAATAAATGCACAATTTCATCAAGTCGTCAGGGCATATCTTTTTCAATACGTTCATGAAACGTTAACATTTGACTTTATTCCAAGAGTTTATCAAACATTTGGTATGAACGTTAGTTTTCCTTGAACAGTTCAACTATAATATAGAACTTAGTTTAACGACAACTTATATTACACGTTGATGAATAACAGATGAAAAACCTTGTTGAAAAACATTTCATTCGCGTTCTTCTTCTACTCCCGGTCAGAAAATGGTGACAGATTCGCGTTAAAGAAATGTTTCGGAAAATCGTTTTATATTTTATAAATCCATAATTTCAACAGATCGTCAGGACATATATTTTTCAATACGTTCATATTTATTATTATTATTATTATTATTATTATTATTATTATTATTATAATGAAACGTTTGGATTCAACTTCAAATACTTCAACTATATTTCAACGTTAAATTCCTCAACCATAAACGTCTATCTAACTTGGTCCACGTTGATAATACGTTGAAAAAACGTACGTGTGTCCATAGGATACGCATAGTGCGGAGTCGCTTCGTTTGAAGTTCGTGCACGTGGCGGACATTCTTTGCTTGAGACGCTTCATCTGACTTTGGATAGACTATACCAACTATGCATCAAATGGTAACATTTTCATTTCACAATATACATTGATTGAAATCTTCAGTTCATATCATCGATAAATGAAAAACTTGTATCACCATTTTCTCAGGATTTATTATAATTTTCGAATCATACAAAATCAGTCGAAGGCGATATTAGAAACCAGTATTTCATATTTTTTATTGCTTTCCACAAAAACATGTCTAAATGAGTCACTTAAACAGTAAAATCAGAATGATGATGATGAAAACTAGTACGGCTATCCCCATGTAAATTTTACACTGAAAAAGAAAAAATAGCACTAATGACAATATTGTACTTATACCGCCCTACCACAGTATGAGCAGTACCATCGAACACCAACTGTCTGAAATTTGGTGTTCGATGGCAGTACCTAATCCATGGCATGAGCCAAAACATTCCGGGCAGAATCGTAAAAATTTCAAGAAAGGGTATACCTATAATGGGACAAAACATCAATGAAACGAAAATTACTGAACTTGTTGCATTTCAATCAATGAAACGTTACTTGCTCATCAGAGTCAACGAGATAAGAATTATTCAAGACGACTTTATAAATTACACTTTCATTGTCTCATTGTAAAACTTTTTTCAAGTCCCCTATTGCAATATGCGAATTAAATAAATGCTACCGATTTGATAATATTGTTTATCTACTCACTGTATCGAAAGTTGGTGTTTGCTTCCTCATCTGAGGACACAAACCTGTCAATTTACTCCCTAGGAAGGAAAAAAAAATTTACCTCCTGTGGGAGGTGAAATGGATAGGCTTTAAGCTTCCTTGGTATAGAGATATCCCTACGTATAAGATCTGTGCTACGCAAGTACCTAATCACTAATCAGTGTCTCCATCACTACTTTAAAACAAATAATGGCGGATTTATGCAACATTTAGTATCAATTTTTGTCTTGAAGATTTGAGGTATTTATCCAGAAACATTAAAACTTGATTTGAGCATAAGAGTAATGTGAGAATGCATGGTTATTTTTATATCAGGGATGGGGAAAATTATCTATCAAACTCATCAACATCTGAGCTTTCTCATAATATCATTTTCGGAACATGTAGACAACAAATCATCAACAATTCTATCAAAGGAGCATACGCCGAATCCACATAACATAGGCATAAGCATAAAAGTTCAAATTAATCAACTTTCAAGGTCATTTCTTATGCTTGTGCTTATGCTTAAGACTGAAATTGGTGTGTAAACAGCCTCAAGCAAGTACCTTGTTTCAACTTCTAGTTATGCTTAAAATTATGACTATATGATTAGGACTATGCAAATGTTCCATGAATCCACCATAACAATTTCAACTACGGAATAGGCACAATGCTCGGAGTGGAATGAAATGTTAAATAAATACAAAAAACTCAGCAAAGTGGTTTCCACACAATGTTCATTAAATGAACAACAATTGTAGATTTCGGGAGAATATTATTACCACGGGACCTCATATCCAAATATTCAATCTTGGTCCCTACGTAATAATGATATTCTTTACTACCTTGGTATATAAATAACTATTTGTTTTCATTATATTATTCATTGGTCGTGAAAAAAATAGTGCATGTAACGATCATGTAATGGATATTATTAATACATGATCGTTGCATAAATTATACTATCTTGAACAGCCCGGGTGACCTATTCTCAGATGTCGCACAACGTGTTAGTGTGGTATTCTCGATTGCTTTCGACTTCAAGCAACATCGAATTAACGATTTCCTAACTATACTATAATGAAGTGTATTTATATCTCCAACATGATAATTAAAAGCCAAATCTGCCGAAATAGTAAACAAATGAGGTATGCGTGTCAACCCAAATAACCAACCGTAACAATGTTTTTTATTCTTGATGACCTTTACTACATCCTTGTTACAGGGTATATCCAAGGTTCTAGTCATGTTGTAGCCATCTAGTGGCAAAGCTCAAAGGTAGAAACAAGAGGTCGCGACACACACTGTATGGCGCTGCCATCTATAGTCACACGTACAGACCCCTACCTCTATACGCTACAAAGTGGTGATTTCTAGGAGCTAAAGTTCAACTTTAGCTCCTAGAAATCAGAAGTGTTGCCTAGCAACATACATATTTTTGTGTCAGTGATAGTAACGTCAATTCAATAGCTAATTTTGGTATTAGAATGGACGAATTTTGTGTCGGTTGCAGAAAAATGTTGTTGACGTTAAGTTTTGTTGGATGAAATAATTCAGTTGATTTTTGAATGCCGCTGGCAGATTCAAAAACTACCCTACAAAAGGCGTTTTCGAAAACTTACTCGGGTTGTTCGGATCCCTAACATGAACGTTCAGTTACCCAAACCGAGTTACCTACCTCTGTTCGGAAACTTGAATGATGCTAACTCGATTACTGACTCGGGTTGATTTTTCGTGACCCTACTCAAAAGCAGGGTCGCCAGAGTTGCAAAGGACACCGCATGCGCATTACGGAATTTAAGTCAATCAAAAACGCGGGAGTTTACATTCGACGATAACAATAATAATAAAATAATTTGCATGTTGGGAAAAGTCACGACCGGTGATATACATGTTCTTTTCAATCTTCATAATGTGATTAAAGTAATTCATTGAGAAGAGAATTTGGGTAGGGGCGAAGTTTGTGGTTATGTGCAACAACACATATGAGACAAGTACACCAATCCACAGGTAAATATAAATATTTGTAATCAGATCGAATAATTACTTGAATATAATGTGACCATTTTCGTCTGTCAAATTCATGAAACCACAGGAAAAATGTAATATTCAGTGTTCCTAACCTGACACGTTCATAAACGTTGAACACGATTAGATGTTTTTGTCACGTGACCTATCTGGATCGAGTTATCAACCCAGAGTAAGTTTCCGAAAACGCCTAAAGACAACCTACTATAAAAGGGAATTGTTAGGAATATTATCTCATTATTTCAACTGCTCTTAAAAAAGTGGACTGTAAAGGACTTACCGAAATATGTTGCGGCTTTCTCTGACGTCACTGTCACTATTTGAAAGGGAAATCAGGATAGGGCTAGAGAGTATGGATCAGTAAAGGAAAATAGTGAAATATTAAATATTATATGTTGTCGGCCGGTCGCGAAAATGCTAGATATTGTTTGGTATTGTTTTTCTCTCGTCGCGTGCGATACAACTGAACTCTTCCTTTTGGATGTCATTCCACTACCCATGGAAATACGTATATGCAAAAAAGAATCAGTACAAAAAGTCAAGAGACCCTTTTTTGTTAGACCAAATATATTCTTTCACGAGGTGAATTTACTATGAAGTATTTGACACGATTCTTTAACTGATATACAGGCAACCAAACATACAATTTTATATCGGCCAAAACAGGAATGTTTTCCATTCCACATGAGGGGTTACTCAAAACAGCCTTTTTGTTAACAACTTTTTCAAAAGGGTCGCCTTTTTTCAGAAAAAATTAATACCTTTTGAACCATCAACAATTATTGGAATGAATTTGATAACCATATATGTACAGTATGATGCAAATGTATGGAATAAATTCATTATTTCAGAAATGGGCGACATTTGAAGAAATTCCAAGAACACGTGAGTTTTAATTTTTGAAACCTTATCTCATGACATTCATATGAGAGATGTTACGTCACCGGTGTTGGAGTAATGACGTAATGGACGGTTTTTTTAAATACAAACAGGGGTCATGTGACACCTCGTTTGAAAGGTCTACTGATCGTCTATCCAATAGTCGAAATTTTGCAAAATAAGATTGAAATTAAAATGGATTATCATTTGGTTAACTGAATCTTGCAGAGATCTCCTACTGAGAATTGAACATCGCAGGGTCGTCTAGTTGGAAAAATACATCGATAAAAAAGTTCTGAACTCTACTTTTTGGATTTTTTTCGGAAGTTGTCTTGTTTTGAAACGAATTTATTCCATACATTTGCATCATACATTCCTTCTGATCCATGAGTTATGGGACACCCTGTATATCAGGGTACCAATGAAAAAAAAACTAATGCAGCAATTCGATACAGCCTTGCAGATACTTGTAGGTTACTTCCATTGCAGTGATGTCACATTCAAAAACGATTTGAAGATTTTCGCTTACTCAGTATATTCTCGTTTTCTACTCAAAAAAGTTCGTAGCTGATTAAATTTCAAGTGGCTCTCTTAATCAATTTCAATAATTGTTGAATTTTCAAAACAATGAAATATTGAAAAATCCGTTAGTAGGTCCTTTCTGAATATGCTGATGAATACCCAAAATAAATTGATAATAATTACATTAGTGCAACTGGTAGTACATTTGACAAATACGAATAGGATTTCCGAATACACTTTCCGGGAATATCGCAGGAAGATGCTCTTTTCTTACCTTCAAATATTTCGTCTTTTTTTTAGCAGCATTTCTCAAAATTTTTGGCGTGTTGCCAATATAATCCTTTGCTGATTGGGCCTGATATTCGACACGATCTATTAGGTCTCTCTGGAAGAAAAAGTGTTATTTTGAATATAGTACCAACTTATCGAATGGAGTCGGACTATACTGAGTGTTCCAGAGCTTTTACGCCAACAGATATCTGGGTTATCTAACATTCGTGAAATTTCAAAAAATGTTGGGCAGGTTCTTGTTCCCTTTTTTAGGGATTGGAAAATGGAATGATATACAGGATGTCCTTCAAAAAATCAAAGCTGTTGCTACTTTTTAATATAAGCGGCAACGTCGCAACACTGAAAATATTTTAGGTCGATAGAACACAACTAATTATCCAAGGCACCAACTTTTCATAATAATCCTGAGTTGCGATCACCTGAAACGTCTAATGTACCACCCACCGTGAATCACCCTGTATATGTTCTTCCAAAGTAAATTTGTGATCAAATATATAGTCTCATACTTCATTCATACTCATTCAGCCACCCCTGAACTATTAGTGCCTATTTGAATATTACCTCTCGCAATGGCAAATACCCTTTTCAAATCGATATGGATGGAATAACCATCTATTTTATCGTGACAATATGAATAATATTTATGATAAATATTAATAATACATGCAGAATGTAAGATCAAGATGATAAATGAGCAATGAAAAAGACAAGTTTCTATTGTGTTCAACCGGGTTTCCAAATCCTCAAATCTCTTTCGAAAAATAAATACCTAACCACAGGATGAAAAAAATATAGATGAAGTTATTCTTCAGAGAGAATCTATGTTAGATTATTTCTCATTCTCGCATTTTTTTGCGAATACATACTTATATACTTGATCATTTGGGAAGAACAACTCAAATCAGCTGTGAACAAATAGAACAAGACAAGTCAAGTTTCAAATCCAGTTTTGGTTCTTAATTTGATAACCAATATTCATAATCTTAATGTAGCAGCATAATCAATCAACAATGATGATTTGTTGGTGATGACCTCGGTTATGAACATGAAGAACAAAATAAAGGAATCCATAGAGCGATAATAGTTTCGTGAAAAAATTAATCTAGCCACAACCAGAAGTTGCGCATTCGCTTGTAGGTATGATAACTCAAACAAATTATACCTACATTGTCGAATTCTCACAATAATATTTCCTTACAACTCTCCCCAACCAACACTGGTTTACTGGGTCCTGAAGATGCTAACATGGTAAGAAAAACACGTGTCGATGGCGTCAAATGAAATAAGTTCGATTAGTGCTGAAAATGTTTTCGTTGTGTGATGGCTGTTTTCGAATTGATGAGAATGAAATTTCATAATTTGTTTTCTTCACTTTAAATAGTCTATTGAAGAATTTCACTTCCGGCGCCTGAACTGGAAGTGAACGCATGATTCTGAGCAGGAATTTGAAAATAGTCCTAGTTACCTGTTCATCTATTATAATCGCCATTTGCAAGAATAAATCTCGGACTTCTACAAGCATATTTTCAATTTGCAGCAACTGCTGATGCCTTTCTTCTATATCAGCCAGGATACGTTTAGCTTCTTGTGTTTCTGCAATTATCTAAAAAACAAGAATATGGAATATTTAGAAATGACATTTTCGAATGATTCAAAAAACATTCATCGCAACAATACCATAGATCTAAATACACACTTTAGATCTATGACAATACCCATGAAAAGGTAAAGGTTTTGTAGTGACATAATATCAGCAGATGAAATCATCAGCAAAAAAACTAAACAGGGAAATTAACAATAATAATGTTCATGACATAAACGTCCAGATGAAGAACAAAATAGATCATGGCCTCCTAAATTATTGTTACCGATGGATTAATCAGCTGATATCATGTGAATAAAAAAAATCAAATATCTCGAAAACGGTTACAATTTTTGTATTTTCATAAATGTACATTTTTTGTGTGATCTCTTCCACTCCATGAAATGCTTTTATGTTTTCACCAAGAAAAATACGATTAAAAAAGTTGTCTTCAAAAAATCATGACCCACCCTCTGAAAACACCATTTATAACGATATCATAATAAGTAGTTGGTTTCTCTACGGTTTCATATGTTTTTGGGGGTGTTGAATCTCAAGTTTGCACAGAAAATTTCCTGGAGTGTTCCTGAAATATTCGCAAAAAACAGTGAAATTTTCATACTTTTATCAGTTCTTTGCCCGTATCTCGGAAACTGTACATTTTAGCAAAAATATTAACCCATAAGAAGATGAAGCAGATGAAATTATCCATACATAATTGTTCATCATTTTACTTGATTCTTTGGGATTTTCTCTACCGTTTCTATAATATAGGTGTTGTAGGACAAATCAGAATTTTCGAAAAAAAAATATTTTGAATTTTTATGTTGGGAACGGGAGCAGATTCGTTTCCAAAACGTCTAAAGATAAGAAAAAATCGATATTTTTTCAGTATATCTACATTTCTTCTCTTCAAACATTTTTCTAATCAAAGTGCTATCGGATTTTTCTTTTAGGCTCCCTGACAGAAGAATTTTATAAAAGCAGTGACATCTGATTTGACCGACTACACATATATTGAAATAATACTCATATTTTTCTTTTATAGAAACGCGGAGAAAATCCCAAATGATCACGTAAAATGAATCTACCACCTCTTCGATTAACCTACAGACAGTATATAATTGTCCGTATCCTTCAGGGTACCAGCCCCCGCCAAACAACGATGTAGCGACAATTACATTATATAGATTGTAGGAATGACCCTCATCTAATTGTCTTCTATAACCCTATAGACTTCTGATGGGACCAAACATTTTCTTGATTGTTAAATTTTCTCCCTCTGCAGGCGTCAGGTAGAGCTGTTTTAGCTCATTCGGCCTTTAGCGGACTAAAACATTACAAGCTAGGGCCATATAGAAAATGTTCATTCAGAAAGTATGATTCTCAAATATATATATGTATGTATGTATATATACTTCTACAATTTTGAAATCACTCAAACATTGCTCTATTCACTGTTACGCCGATGATACACAGATTTATTACAGTTTTAATGTAAATGATGTGGAAATTGCTAAAAGTTTCATCAATGAAGACCTTCACAATTTTATACAGAAGGCATCGGAACATTGTCTATACATCAATCCTAGTAAGTCCAAAGTTATGATTTTTGCAGGAAGGAATTCCCTAAATCCACATGATATCACAATAAATTTGAATGATGAAACACTTGTTATAGTAGAACATACAAGAAATCTTGGAGTAGAAATGGACTCTAAATTGAGATTCGACAAACATGTGAACAAGCTCATTCAAAGAGCATACATGTCTTTGAAAACCTTGTATGGTGCAAGGCATTTTCTATCATCGAATATAAAATTATTATTATGTGAGACGATGGTATTATCAATATTCAACTTTTGTGATTCTCTTTATGGTCCAAATATTACTCAGATATACAGTGCAAAAATACAAAAAGTACAAAATTCTTGTTTGAGACCTATATACGGTGTGCGAAAACGCGAGAGGATCACTAATAAACTAATTCTGGCTGGGTGGTTGAACATGGAGAAAAGAAGATTTCTTCTTTCTGCTTGCCTGTTTCATAAAATTGTTCTGAGTAAAAAGCCATGTTATTTACATCGAAAAATAACTTTTCGTTCGGACGTGCACAATTTGAACAAAAGGTTCAGAGGTACCCTTACACCACCAAAATTTAAAACTGAATTTTTCAAACTTTCATTCTCTTATCAGATATGCAATATTTATAATTCTCTACCCACAGACATGAGAAAGCAATCATTGGGAAAGTTCAAATCAAAACTTAAAGAATATATCTTTTCCCAACAGTAGATATACTTAAATAATTTTCTTCTACAATTCCGATAGTTCATTCTTGGAGGGTTTCTGCGATCAAATTCTCAGCAACATATTTTTTTTTTCTTATTTTGTTTATACTCCTCGCTCAGTGCAATACTACCAGGGTTGAGTGGAAGAACAATTTACTAGAGATTTGATCTTGACATGAATTGAACTTCGCTCTTTTCTTTCATAAGCTTGAAAAACAACAAGTAATAATGTAAATTACCTATATTAGAAAGAAATAAAGTTATTATCATTATTATATTGTGAATACAAAAACAAAACTGTGATCTGTTTATTCGTTTCGGAGCGTTTGAAAATATGAGTTAACGGTAAAATAGACGAATCAAACTAGTGGAAAGGATAAGCTTGAGTGCGGCAACTACGACCAGCATACGTCTCCATGTCTGAGTGTTCCAACATACGTTCACCTTCTATAGGAAATTCGTGTTTTCTCGAGTAATACGTAGATTATGAAGTATCTACGAGAAACTGACCAAGAACTTGCTATAGCTCCTCACTTGCTAGTCCTTCATTCACAAGCAAGGACAATGTATGTAATGAACTAGTCCGCCGATGGCAGACTCCCCTAGAACAGGTCTACCTAATGAAGCTTGCTGAGGTGGAAAACTTAATCCTAGGTTTCACCAGAAGTCTGGGGTTATAGATGACCATTATTATATGAGGAGAATCCCTACAACCTACAATATGATTGTCGCTACATCGTGGTTTCGCGAGGGGCTGGTACTCTGAAGGATCCGATTCTGGAAGTGGTGATGGTACAGGTGGAGCAGATCGTGTTCGCTCCAGGGTACTGTCATCCTCTCTTTTGATATATGAGAGCAACTTGTTCTTCTTTCGTCCGCTAAACTATAACAAGCGTCAGTTGTGAAAAACATTATTCTACCTAGTCTTTGGTAGAAGTCCATGGTTTCTCACAGTGGAGTGGAGTAGTTACTACTAAATAATACCCGAAATCATCTTCACGAAATATTAATTTAATCAAACGATCAAATCAATTGGTACATATGTTTCAGACATATTGTCGTCTTAAGACGATGGGAGGAATATAACCCAAATAACATTATTAGTTTTATTGTTAGCTACAGGAGGTTGTTACAGCCTATTTTAAAACTATTATTTATTTATTTATTTATTTATTTACGAATAGGAATACAAACGGGACTAACCCAAAAGCATTATTCACAGATATGTCATATCTCATCATACAGATATATTAAAACTAAACAAATCGAATATCAATTAAAAAGTTGATGAAAATCAATAATTGGAGTAATTATAAATGATTGAGTATAGGTACAACATGTAGTGATTGTAGTGTGTTGATACAAACAAGGGTGAAATAATTTTATTCAGTACATATTAAAACGTTAAAATATATCAAAATCAAGTAGGTGAAGCCAGGAGATGTTTTTTCAAAATGTAAGAAAATTTGGAAAGTGAGTACTTTAATAATATCATTAAAACAATTGAACAACCTTCTCAAAACATAAAGGGCCCACCTTTATAAATGCTGTCACAGCTTCTCTTAAAGCTTGTCATAAAACTAATAGGAATTTATTCTAGTATGCCTCAAAGCAATAATAAAACCTATCAAAACTACTTCCTTTAAAGCCTTTTAGCATGAGTTCAAACCTGTATGTTTTAAAACGACAGTTCTTATGCCAACATTAAAACTTATTGGCTAGAATTAAAACCTTATCAGTCGCAGTAAGCATTTGTTAAGATGATATAGTCCGTAACGTGATTTATGATAGTCTTTTTTCAGAACTAATTATAATACAAACATGTCAAAATGGAGAGAGAACAATAGATAGTTATAAAAGAGATTAAACATGGCGGTATGATACCTATGATAATTTCCTACTGTATCAAATAGTCCTTTTTGTGGAGATTGAGGCTGTAAAATGAAAACGATGACGACTTTTTTGACGAAAACATACCAGATATGCTTCAAAAGAAGCAGCGCCCTAGAAATAATGTGTTTTCACCAGTTAGAATTGGATGTGAATTTCAATAACTTTTCAAAAAAGTTGACAAAACTGTGTGAATGTTTGCTGAATATGGGTGAGTCGTTTGAAAAATATGGAAAAACAACATTTTCGACGGCAGTATCAATGCATCTTTTCTATTTTCCGCTTGAAATTTTCATTTCCATCAATGGCCGACATCTGTTCGTAGTTAATATGGCGCAAAATATACTTAAAACCAATGTTCTTTCTCTAATGCTTGATTAAAACCTCTAGGTAATGATAAGGCATTTTATGAGACGATTTCCTCCTGTTGAAGTACTTATTGCATATTCGAATCCATTCTTATGAATATTTGCTCCTGGGTATGACAACAAAGCTTCGAAAATGATAAGATTGATATAAGAAGGTTATAAGATAATGCCTTCATAAAACTATAAAGCTTTAAGAATATCCTGGCTAGTGCTCATTGGCAGTGTTGCAGAGTGTAGAAGAACGTCATCAACATGATTAACATAACCCCACTTTTGTTGTTTACAGTGTTCACTTTGTGAATTTTGTGATTGGTTTAAAGTAGGAAACCGAATAGGAAACATAGACAACCTACACTCAGTGCAATTCGCCTGATATTGTGTTGATTGCTCCATTCTCTCAAATTCATGCTCTACTCGCCATCTGACATAATTTGTGCAAAACTGTTATCAACTTCGTCGCTTCCTAGTTCCCATTCAGAAGCACGATGATCAGAAGTATTTTCCATCACGTTCTGACTCGTTGATGGTACTTCATGAACATCAGGTCCTAATGAATTCTTGCTATTTGGTGGATTCAGGTGGTATAAATTGAAAGACGCAGTGTTTGGAATTGCTTGGGCTTGAGATTTCTGATTTACTGTTGCTCTCACGACTTGATTTTTGATTCTTAAGTAATTCTCTTCATTTTTTCGCTTGGAGTTTCCATTTCTCTTAATTTCACCCTATTTATTTTCTTGTGAGTCCATTTCAACGTGAGTCGTTTGTAGGCAAAAAAAATACGAACATTTATATTATGGAATTTGGGTTTAACACGGTTCAAAATAAAACTTCATAAATCCTATAGATTTTATGATTGACTTCGATGAATTCATTGTGGCTTATAGGTTTTAATAATTACTTTCACATAGCTAGAATAATGCCAATAGGTTTCATTATTGCCTCAGTCAAATCCTAATTGGCCTAGTGTAAATTTGGTTTTATGATTGCTTTATGACGTATTTTCATAGGATTAGTTCAGAACCTCTTGGTCAAATTCGAGACACTAATAAAACTCAAGAGTTTTAAGAGTAAATAGTTTTGATGAAGAATTTCAATGACTCTCACAGAGCTAGTGAGCTGAATGCCAAATTGTTTTATGCGATAGTTCTATCATAGTATCTCAAAGCCTTTTAATAGGATTATATGGACATGAAGGCCAATATGCTTTTTCCAGGGCATTCATAAAACGGTAGAACAAATTAGACCTATCATTTGCGCTCTTTAAAGTCTCATCGAAGCTATTAGGCATTTAAAATGTTACTTGGGAATGAACAGTTCCTCCAGGCGTGAAACCTTTCAGGCCCGTTTGGCAACCGGGACCCTCTCTTTGGAAGAGGGGTTGCTGAAGGTGTCTTTTCTGGTACATCCATGCCGAGTAATTACGAAGAAGTAGGAAATTGTATAAATACCACTGATTGAAGTGTAACTTCTTTATTCACTGTCAAGTGAGAGGGATATCGAAACCTACCCACTACTGTGTGTTCTTCGCAGAGAAGCATGACTCTGCGACAATATATAGTATGTCCATCCTCAGCTTAATCAAAATTGCTATTTTTCTGTGATTTCATTCCCACGTGAGCATTCGTTTTCTCATATTCCATGTCTTGCACTTATTCACATGCATTCAAGGACACAATTAATGTAGCAATTTGGATTAGGCAGAGGATCGACATATATCTGAAACATGCACCAATTGATTTGATCGTTTGATCATATTAAAATGTCGTGGAGATGATTCCGAGTATTATTCAGTACTTATCATTTTACCAAGTTGATGTTAATACACCTATTCTATATACCTAGTTGATGTAAATACACCTAAGCGATGTCAAAAATCTACGAGTCTACGAGAACCGACGGAGAACACAATTTTTTGCACAATACGCAAATTTGGTCTATTTTCAACTCTAGCTCCTTACCCGTCAATCCTACACTCATTAGCAAGAACAATTATGAGTAGAACATTTTTCCTACTTCTTCATAAAATGGTATTTTCGCTAATTTGTCTTGTTTCCGAGTTACGGGCAAAAATTCGGATTCAGCAGCCCCAAAAACATATAAAACGACAAAGAAACCGACTACTCGACTTTTTTCCTAGAGAGAATAGCTACTTTGAATGAGTGCCATATCAATTATTATTGTAATTTTTCACCAAAATAATGTTGAAACCTTCCTCTTTACCACTGTTTCTTACGTTGTCTGTGAAAACTTGAATATTAGTTTTATTTTCCAAAAGTAGCTCCAGCTCTTCGTCCGTTGTTCTGATTCCTTTGGCCCTAAGTTGTCCCTCCAAATGATTTTTCTGGATATTTCGGTAGTTCTCCAGAGCTGCATTATTTTGTCTGAAAATTTCGGTGTACCTGGTCCTCAAAGTATTGAATTGTATCGTTTTTATTCTGCCTTCTGCTGTTTCCTTATTGGTTGTTTTCAAGTCCTCTTCGAACTCTTTGAGTTTTGAGTTTATTCTGTGAGATATGCTGGTGTTGTTTTGAAATATACTCTGAATTTTATCGTGCAGATCTAGAATGAGAAAATCTTATCAATTATAAAGTCCTCTGATTTGGGAAAGTACTGAAAAAGTACGAATAGTCCATTCTTAATCCTCTGTATATGTTACATGAGCAGTTGAGGAAGGAATATTCTTTATCAAATAATGGAATGATTTGAATGTTTATTCATTCCTACATTCGCAAGCGCTTCGAAGGGCCTGTGTGGATCATTTTATCAAGCTCTATACAGGGTCATCCACCATAACTAATTCATTAGATGTTTATAGAGAACCAAACGAGACATCAATCTGAAATTTTTGGTCATTGTATGATGTGATCTATCTTTTCAAAATATGTTCAATCAGCTGTCACTTCCGGTTGTATTGAAACAAATAGAATTATAACAAATACAGGGTGGTTCAAGATTCAGAATTCTGATCACTCTGCATCTATTTCAGTTAAATGTCAGTAGATAGTAAATCAAGAGTTAGGATATCTCAAATTTGAAAAATCTCGATTTTCAACACCATATATCTTTGTAATCATTCCCGCTAGGCCCCAAGTGTAATGCATTGATGAAATTAGCTCTTCAAGAGAAATTTAGAAATGCACTGATATACAGGGTGTTCGATTTGAAAAGAACGCAGTTATTGTCAGTTCAGTTTTTTCAGAAAGATAGATCAATGGTTTTACCTACTCAAAATTTCAAATTCTTATATATTTTGGTTTTCTATAAACATTAATGGATATAAGTTAGGCGAATGACCCTGTATGTATAGATACAATATTATCTTATAATATTATCTCACAGTGAGCGGATTTCTTTATATGTCCCCAAGTCAAATACAAAAATATACCAATCGAAAATACGACAAGTAGTACTGAACACAGTTTTGCAGGAGTTAAGTGGCACTTCAGCGCCCGAGGACTACTTCATCACCCGGCGTATAGCTAAGCTTTCCTGTATAATTCAGGATATTTATGTTTTACTTGTGATTGTTCATCATCTGATAATGCAAAATTTATATTTTTCATCACGTTTTAATCAGATAATTATACAAATTGATCAAATTTCATAATGAAATATAAAAGAATGATAGGTTTTATAGGAAAAATGCTCTCCTGTTAGAACTCAATATAGGACGCGTCGAGTGAAAAGGGAAAAAAAGTTTTGAATTGACTCGGCCGATGATGGAAAGTCATGGCAAATGTGAAAACTTCACAAACGATAAGATTTCCACAAAATTCTTATACACACAACATGTTTCGCTAACACAGTAGCTTCGTCAGGTGATATACTGGTACAATGAACTAAACCAACGTTGGCTTGCTTAACTTTTATATATATCCTACTTTCCCAACCTGAAGGACTAGAATTACCTGTGGACAGGTTCGATAAAACTTCATTTTCGGAAATTAGGTACAAAATCTACATTAAAATACGGTGTACCGGATTAACTTGAAAGGGTTGATAGCAAATACATATCATTACTTAAAACAAAACGAATTCAACAGTGATGAACTATTGATCGTTTGATAATTTCTTATGATTAGTGGTGCCGCGAGAGTCTCGTTTTCGAGAGTCTCGCATGGTCTCGTCTCGTTTTCGAGACAAGACTCGAGACGAGACTCGGACAAGACGAGACGAGACTTTTATTGGTCTCGTCTCGAGTCTCGTGCAAGACTTCTCGTGTCTCGTGCGAGAGTCTCGCAGGTAAATATTTTTGCGTTCCGACTGCAGACTTGAGAATTCCATTCATAATACAACGTATTTGGAAATACTTCATACTATTTAGCAGAGATAGCCAAAAAATTTCATCCATAAATACCGGTTACTTCAGTCCCGGCGGAAAGATTATTCTCACGTGCTGCGTTAACTATAAGAAAACATCGGAATCGCCAATCTGCACGATGTTTTTCATGTTTTAACGACTGGGTGAAAAACAAAAACATTTGCGATCGTGAAGGCTGATCTGGCTGGTGAAGGTTTTTTTCTTAGATAAGGACCTATTTCTTGAAAAGTAAAATAATGTTGGATTAAAGTTTTTGATTTGTTTATATGTTTAGAATATACGTGATACTTTTATTTTCATAACTTTCAAATATACACTGTGTCCATAAAGTCACCCCCCCCCCCCTGGTTAACTATTGAACGGATGGGATTTTTTTTTTCAATTTTTTTTTTGCTCCAATGGTAGTTTCAGTGCTATATATTGGTCCAAAAAAAAATATGTATCCTCCAAAATGGCGCCTGGGCGCCATTTTGGAAGATATTTTTAAATGGAGTGGGGGGTCGAAAGATACCTCGATTGAAAGGTCTTTCGATTCTCTATACAACCTCAGAATCTCAGACGAAAATATTCATCTAAAACAAAATGGCGGATGATAACGTTTGAAATCTCACTCTTTCGACTAGATGGCTATTGAAGTGCTCGCATGTGATCTTCAAATCTCTATTGGCGTAAAGAAGAGTCCTCTATCCATGAAGATATCAATAGGAAGCCATTTTGAAGAGAATAACATGGTAGTCAATTATACCTTTGCTCGATTGTCTTTCCAAATTCTGCAAAATTTTAGAAATATTTATTCAAAATAAATAACAATGTTTATTCCACGTGACTACCATGTTATTCTCTTCAAAATGGCTTTCTATTGATATCTTCATAGATAGAGAACTCTTCTATCAGGGCCTACTCTATCTCACCGGGCCGTAGTCTATCCCCTCTCTCTCGACGCTGACGTCACACTAGTGGGTTGAGATTTCACATCAGTCCGTACTGATGCGTTCGTAATTGATAGGCCATAGCTCATTTACTATGAATTTAAGAAGCACACTGAATCGGGACGAAATGATCCCCAACAAATTCCTCAACCTTTGGTGAAAAAATGAATCCAATAGGATGAATCAATACCGAGTTATGGCGTTGTAACGAAATTCCATTTTATTGAAAATCAGGACGTTGTACTACAGAATACTATTTTTTGCAAATTTGGAATTGGAATAAGATGAAACTATCTCAATATATCAAACTACGATAATGAATCAATTGAATAGTGAAAAAGTTGTAGAGTTACCTACAATGAGTCCGAAAGAAATTGAATATAAAGAGCGCGTAAAAAATGGGCCGTTATACCTACCTACCCAAATTTCGCTGTATTACGATTTCGCGGTAATTCCTTGGACTGGTAAAGGGCGATATACTTTTTATTGCTCATTTTATTTCTAAATGGCGTATGGTTCAGACCAACTAATATTGGTGCCTGAAAAGCTCGAAACAATCTTTCTACAATGTAAGTCACAACATAAAGTTTTGGAGAATTTAGCAGAAATTAAAATCAATTCCCTTCTCAATTATTCCGAGAATCAATGTTGCAGTTGTGGGTCTTCTGATCTAATCAGCAGAACATTCTCTAAAACCATTTCAAATATTCTGTTGAACAATTATTGCAAAATAAAAAAAAAATTAAAAAGAAAAATCACTAAACTTTCAGGATATATAGTTCAGATTTCAATTTTAAGTTTGTGATTAAGATGATGTATATATATTTTTTGTTATTAGTGTATTTCATTTTGTGATATCTATCAATTTTTTTTATTTTGTTATGTTTCAGGATTCAACGTTTTTTTTTTTCTTTTTTCCTCATTCATTCATAATATATCGTTGTTCAGGGTATTTTGTTATTCAGTTCGTTATATTCAGTTTTATATCTCTCATTGTTGAGATACATATTTCCTCAATTATTTTTGTTTGGTTGTGTTCATATGAACTCCACATATTTTGTTCTTTTTAATTTTGATAGTTTGCAAATATATTCAAATCAAATTTTTTGCATGAATTTAACGTATAATTCAAATATATGCTCTTCAGCAGAAAATAATTGATACCAAATATGCGTTTTTGTGTAATAACACACTCGAGTGATAGGATTTTTAACGTCATCAAAGTGCGTCCTGATCATCTTTAGAGATGAACGTTGAACGCTGCTAAAGCCCTTCAAGATAAAGTAGATGTGTATTATACCGATTTGTAGGCAATCAAATTTCCTACAAAAAAGTCAGTGACAGCATTCATTTATAATAGAATTAGCATGGGAGGCGTCCGAACTTTATGAACTATTCTGTAATGAACACCTGAATCATCGTTCTACTTGAATTGAAATATCGGTTCGTTGTTGGCCCTTGGGAATTTAAAAAAAAATCAGTCAATCTAGATACTACGCGAAATCTATTCATGGTTGAATCATTTCTGTGAATTGAATATTGGAATTTTGGTAGCTGTTTGAAAAAGGACAATTCTGAATGGCGTCAATTAATTTGGATATGCCATATTTCTGAAATTAATGATCGTAAATCAGTGAAATTTGATTCATCTTCTAGGAAATTCTTTTCTGTACATATTTGACCTCTTGATATTTTTCGCTAACTATGACCGTTTTCCCGAGGTAAATCAATGAAACGGGAGAGATAATTTCCACTGCGTTGATTTTGTCCCTACTAGTGTGACGTCACGAAAGCGATGCTCCGGCCCGGTTAGATAGAGTAGGCCCTGCTTCTATACGCCAATAAAGATTTGAAGATCACATGCGAGCACTTTAATACTTTTAATAGCCATCCAGTCGAAAGAATTCTGGTGTGAGATTTCAAACGTTATCATCCGCCATTTTGTTTTGGATGAATATTTTTGTCTGAGATTTTGAGGTTGTATAGAGAATCGAAAGACCTTTCAATCGAGGTATCTTTCGACCCCCCACTCCATTTAAAAAATACATAGGATACATATTTTTTTTTTGGAACAATATATAGCACTGAAACTACCATTGAAGCAAAAAAAAATTGAAAAAAAAAATCCCATCCGTTCAATAGTTAACCAGGGGGGGGGGTGACTTTATGGACACAGTGTATAATATGCTATGTTTTTTCTTGTTTAGATGTATGAAGTATTTACTAGTGGTGCCTGCGAGAGTCTCGTTTTCGAGAGTCTCGCATGGTCTCGTCTCGTTTTCGAGACAAGACTCGAGACGAGACTCGGAAAAGACGAGACGAGACTTTTATTGGTCTCGTCTCGAGTCTCGTGCAAGACTTCTCGTGTCTCGTGCGAGAGTCTCGCAGGTAAATATTCCTGCGTGCCGACTGCAAACTTGAGAATTTCATTCATAATACAACATATTTAGAAATAATTCAGACTATTTAGCACAGATAGACAAAATATCTCATTCATAAATACTTTAAAAACACAATCCATGATTGTTGTAAAACGACGTAATGCGTGAAACGAAAACGGACTATTCTCTTTCTTACGGCGGCGGAATATAAAGGCAATTCTGCAATACGACAGATCGCAAATTGAATGACTACCTGAAAATCTATAAATGAGTCATTCTCTGCTAAAGAAAAACAGAAACATTTGTGATCATGAAGGCTGATCTGACTGATAAGGAATTTTTTTCTACAAACGTCAAAAAATGACAAGGTTCGCGCATTGATAACAAATTGCGAAGTGACACTTTTTTTCAGTTTCCTACGTTACAATGATACCTTGCACAAAACAATGCGCGAAGTAAAACAGCAGAAGTAGGTACTTCGCGCACTGTTATGTAAAATATATGGGATATTTATATTTCAACTTTATGGTCCACAATCCAGCAAACATTCACGAAATCATTTATTACTGAATGTTCAATAAATAACTTCGTTTTACCTCTTGGAGCGCACGAAAGGATATTCCTATTATGTTCGTGGAACTTCGTGCGTACCTAGAAAGGATAGAGGGAGGCCATCAAAGCTTGTTCAACACTATTGTTTATATCAAGCTGAGCATATCTCCACTTTAGAACAATATTTTTTGAGGTTTGTAGAAAAAATGTTGTTTGCAACTCGAGCGCGAAATACTTTGGTCATCTCGACTATTTTTTCAACTCGGCTACGCCTCGTTAAAAAAATCAGATCTCGATCACCAAAGTAGCATTTCGCGCTCTAGATACAAAAATAACTATTTTCTTAGATACCTTTTTCTTAAAAAAGAAAAATTATGTTGGATTCAAGTTTTTGTTTGTTTATATGTTTAGAATATACGTGTTACTTTTTATTTTATTTTTATAACTTTCGAATATATAATAATATGTTTTTTTCTTGTTTAGATGTATGATGTAAGTATGTACGTATTATGTACTTATTTTTCGATAAATAATGTTATTTTTGTTGTAATTTTCACTTCCTACTTCTACATTATACCTAAAAAGTAGGTAAATGTAAATATCCCGTACTAGACTGAAACAAGATTATACATGACAAAATTGATACATTTGCGAGACTCTCGTACGAGACGCGAGACAAGACGAGACTCCAGGCTGCGAGACGAGACTCGAGACAAGACTTCATATTTCATCGGGGAGACGAGACGAGACTTTATGAAAGTCTCGTCTCGTTGGTCTCGTGTGAATCACTAGTATTTACCTATTAGGTACTTCTTCAATAAATAATGTTATATCTGTTGTAATTTTCGTTTCCTATAGGTACCTACTTCTACATTATACATAAAAAGTAAGTATAGGTGAATATCTAGTACTAGACTGGAACAAGATTATGCATGACGAAATTGCGATACATTTGCGAGACTCTCGTACGAGACGCGGGACAAGACGAGACTTTAGGCGGCGAGACGAGACTCGAGACAAGACTTCATATTGCATCTGCGAGACGAGACGAGACTTGATGAAAGTCTCGTCTCGTCACTACTTATGATTCAAAATCAAAAACTCAATCATTTTGAATCATTGGAAATCAACAAACTCAACAATTATGACTTTACTCAACGATCATCTAGACCTCAATAGTTCACCACTGTTGAATTTGTCTTCTTTCTTTGCTGTACAGCGTATTTTAATGTAGATATTATGCCTAATTTCCGAAAATGAAGGTTTATCGAACCTGTCCACAGGTAAATCTAATCCTTCAGGTTGGGAAAGTAGGATATATAAAAGTTATAGGCAAGCCAAGGTTAGTTTAGTTCATTGTACCAGTATTTCACCTGATGAAGCTATACTGTGTTAGCGAAACATGTCGTGTGATTGAGAATTTTGTGGAAATCTTATCGTTTGTGAAGTTTTCATAGTTACTAAAATTGTTGGTGCAAGTATGTGTCTTATTGATCATTGAAGACATATCATTTTGAAATGTTGGGACATTTCGGTCACATCATGACACACTAATGTTTGTCGTAGCGATAGCTCATAGAGGGTGTTTATAAAATTAAATTTACGATTATTTCCAATTTCAATAGTTATTTGAAAAATTCACAGAGCTCTGAGGAGGAAACAGTTTGTCATCAGGTCCGAGAACAATTGATAACCTTTGATTGCGAAGGGTGCAGTGTTTCAAATGGTAAATTCTCATTGAAACAATTTCATTATTTCAATCCTATGCTGGACAACGTTGTAACCGCCAATATTCATGAAAACGATATTTCCACTTTATTATATTTTATTTCCTTTTTCTATTTTTCGTTTTTCCAAAAAAATTTTTTGGCGTTCACAATGTTGTTTTAGCATTTGTAGAAACCAATTGATATTGTGCTTGTCCAGAAAAAAATATTCAGATTATCATTGTGATCGGTAAAATTATTAATCTTATAACACTTGAATAAATACAACAAAAGCTCAGAGTTATATCCACATAATGTTCCTTGAATGTACAATAATTGTAGATTACGGGAGAAATATAACTACTTTCCTGGCTTACGCCACGCAAAACATTCAATTACATCCTTCCGAAATGTATGAATGTATTCGTATGAAAGAATACTGATACAAGTGTTTATTTCCTAAATGCCTCAGTACGTAATGCTAGCTTGAGACTGCCCCAAACTGATGAAGGCCAAAACTGTTCGAAACCGGTCTGTAGGTGTGGAGTGTAGCCTGGCTAAATCGAGATCAATAATCATTTGGGAAAGAAACACTTGTATTAGTATTTGTTTGTATGAATTCCTGGCATTAGCTAGGGAAGTACCTAGTTTATCTCTCGTAATCTACCATTAATTTTCATTTCATTAACATTGTGTAGAAATGACTTTGAGCTTTTTGTAATTATTCAACATTTCATTCCACTTTGAGCAATGTGGCTATTTAGATAGATAGATCTTTATTCTATTCTATTTCGTAGTATATATTATCACTTACCTCTTTGGTTCATACTCAAGTCTAATCTGTGAATATGATTCTGGACATCTCGAACGTTTTTCTCCATTCCTTCTATCCATTGTATAAAGATTTCAGCTCGTTCAAAAGTTTTTCTCAGTTCCTTGTTATCAGTTTTAACATGCGCTTCCTATAATACATTGAGATTATTATTATAATAATACAGGGTGACCCCATGTGACCCGACAACGATTTACTCCCCGTAATCTTTGTTGCTATTTTTTGTGGATGTTTCGAATGTGGTACGTCGATTTAATTTTATGATTTATTTCACTAGTTATTAGACCAAATGTGGCACTTCCGGTTTGACCGAAAGTGCATCCAATTTCTTATTTCGAAGACAAAGTTTACTTTTATTTGAAAATTACGATTTATGACCTTCCCAAGTATACAGGGTGTTTCATGAGAAGACTCACATAGCCAAATCGTTAATAGGGGAAATCGAGACGAGCTGATGTATATATATGAAAACATTTTTTGACCCTCCATAACGAAGATACAGGGTATTATGTGAAATTGCTATATAACTTTGATGGTCGATATTACAGAAATAATTCGTCGTAATCTGCTGAAATTTGGCAGCGACGTATCTCTACTGGAACTTTTCAAGATAACATATTATGAAAAAAATATCCAGGTCCGGACTTGGGGAAATTTTATGTTTCATTGTTATGTCAAAAAAGTTCACTTTGTGACCACTTTTCTATAAAAATTCCATCAGATTCAGAAAGATCAGACAAAATCTTATAAGAACTGCTCTTCAATTTACACGGCACACTTTGACCGGTTCAACAAAAAGATATGGAACAAAAACGTTCGAATGCATTTTCAATTTCGACCTGGCTGATAACTCTCAACTTCGTGTAAATTGATTTTTTGTACATTTTTATTGGATAGAAATTGACAGAAGAGATTAGTTCTGATTTGTTTATGATTTGACATGTTAGTTTTTGAACGAACTTCTAGATATATATGATTACTAGTGACTCTATTTTATGAATGTATTATAAAGTGGGCCCTGTTTTTATTTTATGTAACGTGACGTTTGTTGACACATGCACATGCACTGGTAATCGAAATATTATAGGTATATAGACGAAAATCCAAATGTTTAATACCATAGAATATTTCCAGACCCAAGAATACGTTGTAGTAAAACCTTCACGAGGATAAACATTAGGAATTTTGAATGAATAGCAAATGCATATCCTTATATCACTTGCAGAAGTGTATTAATAACAAAAAATAACAGGATTCAAGAAAATCCCTCAACAAACAAATAATATCTATCTGGAATTTCGATAGAAAATATCGTATTTTTTTTCGTCTATCTTCCTATCAAATACTATTCAACAAAAATGTAGAAAAAACCAATTCACATGATACCAGTTGAAAGTTGACAGTTATCAGCCAGGTCGAAATTTAAAATTCATTCGAACGATTTTGTTCCATATTTTTTTATTGAACCAGTTAAAGGGTGCCGTGTAAATTGAAGAGCAGTTCTCATAGAATTTTGTCTGATCTTTCTGAATCTGATGGAATTTTTCGAGAAAATTGGTCACAAAGTGAACTTTTTTGACATAACAATGAAACATAAAATTTTCCCAAGTCCGGACCTGGATATTTTTTTTCATAATATGTTAGCATGAAGAGTTTCAGTAGTGATACGTCTCTGCCAAATTTCAGCAGATTACGACGAATCATTTCTGTAATATCGACGATCAAAGTTATATAGTAATTTCACAAATAATAATCTTCGTTATGGAGGGTCAAAATTTTTTTTCATATATGTATCGACTCGTCTTGATTTCCCCTATCAACCATTCGGCTATGTGAGTCTTCTCATAAAACACCCTGTATATCACAATCATATTTTCAATCCACAATCTACTCATATAATTGAGATTTTATGAAATAGGTAATGGGTAATACTTTCTGTATTTCCCTTGTAACGGAACAATTGCATGAGGTATTGCGTCAACATTTTGCTTGGAGGTATTTAATATAATAATATAATATATTTAATATATTCAATTTAATTAATAATCTACTTTTTCGGGAAGAATTACCACATCTTCGAAGAGAGCTCGTTGAGTAATAAATTATGGAATTTTTGTTTCGAACAATCGGTCAAAGAATTCCAAATCATTAGGTTGTTGCGAGATGAAATCGCACACACTGTATACAAAAAAAATTCGGAGTCACCATGTATGGTTGCTAATTCACAAGGTAGACAAATTGAACTCAAGAAACCTTGTATACTTGTGTTCCGAAATTACATAGAAAGATCTCAACCACAGATTTCAGGAACAAAAAAGTAAAAAAAGTTCATATAAACGTGTCTCAAGAAATGCCCTCCCCCCCCCCCCGGGGGGGTTCCTAGTCATTTAAAGGAGAGTCCGAGATGATGGTTTTATATGAATATTTTCTGAACCCTCCATGATGAGATGGCCGAACTTTGTTCATGTACAAAAGTTCTGATGCCCGATTCGAACATGTCAAGAATTTTTCGAAATGTTGATCAATCAGGAGCGTGAGAAATAGATGGGGCTAGGGGTACTTTTCCTCACCACTTTTTTTATTTATGCAATTTTGAGCAGTATGACCAGGAAATATGCAAATATCAACATTTTCACTAATGAATGTTATTTATTCTCGATAGCATTCACCATTTTCGAGATGAATCGAATTTATAATTCTGCTGTAGGTTACCAAGTTTTCCCAAAAATTTGGACACTTTTGATACGAAATGCAATGAGAAGAATACATTTAAAAATGATGTCTATAAAGAAATGATACTATTTTTGTTAAAATCGATTCATCTCGAAAATGGTGTGCTATTGAAATAAACAGGAGTACCATTTTTGAGTAAAAAATATGATATTCTCATATTTCCTGGTCAACTCCAACTTTCAATGTTTGATCGAAATATGGTAGGGCTACGATAAAAAAATAAGAGAAAGTGACCCAAGCCCCCCCTATTTCCTTCGGCCCTGATCAAAATTTTGGCAAATTCCTGACATTTTTCAATTGGGTATAACAAGTTAGGCACATGTACAAAATTTGATTATTCTGTCACGGAGGGTTTGAAAGTATTTACAAAAAACCATCATCTCGAGCTCTCCTTCAGATGGCTATCAGAACTCCCCTCATCAGGGGGCCATTTCTGGACCCATTTTTATGTAAACTTTTTTCACTATTTTCGTTTCTAGAATTTGTGGTTGGAATCTCTCTATATATGTAATTTCGGGACACCCTATACAGTGTGTCCCACTTACCATGCTCACCATGGGTATCTTTTTAACGGTGAGAGATACGAGGTTGGTTAAATGACACCAAACGTGGAGTTTGTCAAGGCCAACTATAATGTGAAAAAATATTTTGATAAAATCTATTCGTTTTTGTTTTATACGCAAAAAACAGATTTTGATCATTTTCATGTCTCCTCCGTAACTTCGTTATTTATGAAAATATTCAAATAGGAATTTCACATTCTCATGGCAGTTTTCCAAAGTGATTTCGAAAAAAATATGAAATTTATACCAACTCTTCTAGAATTTGAGATATCAGCACCAATTTTAGTTTTTCAAATGTAGGTCATAGCTCACTATGACTTAGTTACGAATAACTTTTTTTTCTCTTACAGATGATATGTCGCAGTAATAGTTTTGTGTTAATAACAACGGAGTTATCGTCATTTATACAAAAACAAAAAAATTATTTGGAAGCCGCCATCTTGAATTTATGAATTTTAACACAAAAATCATGATCTCCGACCTCAAAAACCCCCACTTACCATCTTGGAGCAGCCATTTCTTTTAATTTCAACAGAAATTCCATAACAAGATTTGGTCCGATTTCATTCAAAATTGGTGAGTGGGGGTTTTTGAGGTCGGAGATCATAATTTTTTTGTTAAAATTTATAAATTCCAGATGGCGGCTTCCAAATAATTTTTTGTTTTTGTATAAATGACGATGATTCTGTAGTTATCAACACAAAACTATTACTGCCATGAGAATGTGAAATTCCTATTTGAATATTTTCATAAATAAAGAAGTTACAGAGGAGACATGAAAATTATCAAAATCTGTTTATTGCGTACAAAACAAAAACGAATAGATTTAATCTAAATATTTTTTCACATTATAGTTGGCCTTGACAAACTCCACATTTGGTGTCATTTAACCGACCTCGTATCCCAGTTAACACAAATTGATCTCAGAGACGTCAGTACACTTCACATTCATGATTGAGATCACACCCGCGATTCGATTTGTGAATCACGTCGACATCTCCAGATCCTCTATTCCGGACCCTTTTGGTCATTTTTCGCTTCACATTTAGATGCCGAATGGGACTCAAAAGTTAGCTGAATGTGACTCCAGATATCACGTTGAAATGAGACTCACATTGAGGTCACATCATAATCAGAATGTGAGGTTTAGAAGACCATCGACCATTTCTGAATGTGAGGTTCTTTTCGATTATTATACTGGTATCGTAGCGTCCCTGGAAGAATCATATTGTGCGTCTCAGAAATGCTACATACACATTGATTTTTGACGTCTCAAGTGAAATCACATCTAGATTGATGAAGGTATTCAATGAGAGAACTAATCGGTCTCGAATCTCTGTCAAATAGATCAATCAAGGGTTTCACAAGGCAACTCGATTTTATTGAAAATTAGTCTCATTACACATCAGAATAGGTAAGTACGTACATGTTATGTTGAGCAAAACTACCTAGATATAACAATGATTGAAATTAGAAAAACAGCGCAGGCCTAGACTTTTTCGAATAATTATACAGGGTTATATATCTCCATGAGTTAACGCGATGAATATGGAGAACTGAAAGTAACACAAGAGAATCCAATATTTGCTCCTCATCTCTCCTTCCGTTGTAGCATGGTAACCAATCCCTGCTCAGAATTTCAAATTGTTCCAAGGTTGTCCAGATGACTTTTGTGATTTGACATCTGAAAATGAATATAGAAACAATCAATTGATTTCATTTTGCCCATTTCCTGTTCAGAATATCTCATAGAGAGTGAGTATAGAACCATAATGAGAGTATTGAAAAATGTTCAAGTCACTTTCATATCTACGTGGAGTCGTGTAAGATTGAAATTATTTATGAGAAGATGAAATCACACTGCATACCTACTGTTCTATACTGGGTGACAAAGAAGATAGAGAATAGCTGCGGCGCATTTTTTCCTTCCATTCATAATATTTTGCAATAATTTTGTTCTTAATCAGACTTTCCCAATACACAATCAGAATATGCATGTTCACTTATACCCTGATCCCAAAATGATATATTCCAAGTTATCATTGTGAGTATCATCATATAGTCTTGAAATGGCGACGTGGTGTCGTCTACCCTGTCTTCATTGTCAACCAGTATATAGGTATATTATTGTATCAAGTTATGAACGTTGTAGTTACTTACCCTGTAACTTAGATGAGAAACACACAGTATCTTTAATCACAATCATGATTTTCGATTAGAAAGAGATGCTTATTCAGTCTAAGCAATAACGCCAAACACGAACTGCATACCAACACCGAATGAACTAATGCACTGAAACAACGAAATAGACGAGACAAAATCATGCCGTCGCTAAAGAATTTACAGACACGTGTACATCAGTCAGACCGACACTGACCGAGTGTGTACGAAACTTTACATAAGTCACATTGTGCGGTACATTCATGAGTATGTGAGTACACTGATATTTCCAAGTATTGTTCGATATTACTTTCATAAATGAATTTCCTTGAGATGTGAGAGAGATTCACATATTGAAGCATATTTTCGTTTCTTCATTCTGCACAATGTGAATCAGTTTGTCAATTCAGATACATCAAATTATGACTCTCAACGACTGAAATTTCAGATTCTGAAATTATAGTCGTTGTGAAGTTAAGGGGCCTCATAAATATTATATCCATATTGGTCTCAGATCCAACAGAATGTGATGAAATTTGCGAACTATCTGTCACACAAGGAATTCCTTGTAGATATCAGCGATGCAATATTGTGATTCGCTTTTGTGACATCAACTGCCATGAATGCGACATCTCATAGATGTTTGTGTTAACTGGGATCTCTCACCGTTTAAAAGATACCCATGGTGAGCATGGTAAGTGGGACACACTGTATAAGTATGTATTCGCAAAAAAATCATTACAGGCCAGGAGACTTTTTCAAATCACGTATTTGGAAACTTTTATAGGGTCAGGTTACATACATATATGAGAAAAATAATTCGATGTTTTTAGGAAATTGCTCCTATCTCGGAATTCTGGCTGTTTAGGTATAGGAAGATGATATATCAATTCGGAGGGAATTTAGTCATCTTTCAGGATATTTCATGATATACAGGATGTTCCATTTGAAAAACGCACTTTCAACCCTTTCTGTATCTAGCAGTAAGATCCTGAATTTTAAACGACCCTGTATAACGCAGAACAAACTTCTCTCTACATAATCAATATACATGATCTTAGTGAACTAAACACAAAATTACAACTCCCTAAGAATCCAAATACCGCAGAAATAAACATTCAATTCGAGCTATGTTTTGAATAAAAAATATGCCAAATAATCAATATCTCAAAAACCGTTAGAGATAGGTATAGAATAGTATGGGGCAGAAATAATAAGAAATTGATGATTATATAGTTCAAAAATGCGGTAATATACAGGGTGTCCCATTTGAAATAACAAAGATGCTGCTACTTTCTGGTATAAGCGGCAACGCTGCATTGCTGAAAATATTTTAGATCGATAGATCAAGAGCAATTACTTGAGTAACCATATATTCAGAATGATCTTATGTCCCGTTCTCCGTAAACGTCTAAGGTGCCATCGACCGTGACCCACCCTGTAAATAGGTGACAAGATTCTGAGGGGTAGGTTTATTCGAAGCAAAATATGGCGATAGCACCGAATATGCCCTATTAAAATATTGCTGTGGAAAAAGTTAAGGGCGTTGAAGTTGAATATTTTTTTTCATTTTTGCTCGGATTGTTGCTGATAATCTCACCGTATATTCATCAATTGTCAACAAAATCGGTACAGAGGCATAATTTTATACATTATTTCATGTATTATTCTGGAGTTTGTTACAGGGGACGCCACGTGGATGATTCCTGATGATCAAAATCGCCTGATAACTCTTTCTCACAAACCTTTCTAGTGATTTTCATTAGAAAATATGACATACACATCATTTCATGTAGTGGTCGACGGAGTTCCATCTGACTCTCTTACCATAAAAGCTTGTGTTCCGCAAGGATCAATTCTAGCACCAACACTATTTCTACTCCATATCAACGATTTGTTGGAAGCAACTTCATGTCCAGTACACAGCTTCGCGGATGATATAGTACCCTCCATACCTCCTTTTGCAAATCAGAAACGAACGAGGGAGAAATGTTGACAACATAAATATGGACTTGGCAACGTGACAAACATAAGCATGTCAGGAATAACCATACCTTTGGACACATTCATTTTGATGCTTGGTATTACGTTCAGCAATAACCTCTCTTGAGAAAATCACGTGAGATCAATTGCGAAAAGTGCATCCCAAAAACTTGGTTTTTTGTTTCGGTCCAGGAGCTATTTCACTTCCAGTCCGCTGCTTATGATCTATAAGGCACAGATTCGACCTGTCCTGGAATACTGTTCCCATATTTAGAATGCAGCACCCAAACATACCCTGAAACTGTTGGATTCTGTCCAAAAAAGAGCAATTCGTCTCGTGGGTGATGCCTCGCTCACAAACTCACTAACTTCTCTGGAACACCGTAGAAAAGTTGGCGACGGCTATATTTTATAGATATTTTCATGGACGATGCTCTTCTGAATTATCAACAATTGTACCTCCCTTAGGATTAACCCGTCGAGTTGAGGCTTCGCACCCCTTCGTGGTCACTTTGGAGACCTGCAGAACATCTCTTTCCAGAGACTCGTTCATCCAACAAGGCTCTGAAACACATTGCCAAGGGAGGTGTTTCCCGAGGCATATAACCTCCAGAAATTCAAGAAGAACACCAATTCCTACCTTTCTTCCCTTGGTTCTCACGATGTTCTCTGAACATTACAGGATATCCCTTTTCTTGGGAACCAGAACATAAAAAAACGAGGTATCCATCCGTTTCCGAGAAAAACGCAATTGAACAGTTCAAAGTCTCGGAAGGGAATATCAAATATTATATCATTTATGAAGAGGGTCTTTGGATTGTCAGATAATTGTTGCTGGTGAATTACATTTGTTGTCAGTGAATGAATTTTGGTGCGAGTTCATGGTCAATAATACTTCTACGATTGAAACGCCCTGTATCTTTTTCCACAGCAATATTTAATTAAGTCATATTTGGTCCTATATAGCTTATGTCCGAATACTTATGACTCACCCTGTATATTTTTATTCTGTGTTGACTTGAAGATTCGATATTCTATTCTATTTGTCATATTGGCAATGATCATGTACTTTTTTATACCTAATTTCCGATAAATTTCTGAGCATCAGTGGAGAAACATACTGATCCTCCTACCTGATGAAGTGGAAAAATTTGAAATATAGTGAATAGTTTTCAAATAGGAAGTCCAGAGCGGAGGTGACTGCATTATTCTTTTCTTTCAGGTAGTTACAAGCTGATCCTTTCCCACTTCTAACGAGAGAATATGTTCTTATATGATATTATAATATGAACAATTCACTGTGTATATCGAAATATCTACACATCAGATGAGATGAATTAATTAATACAGACACACAGACAGATTATGGCTCCTTATCAGTTGAGCCGGCTATGCCAAATATTCCACAATTGTTAACTATCAAATGCGCCAAAATGATATGTTTTTGAAAATTCAGAGACTCAAATTACAGAGATTTTTCTTCTGATGGTTTCAAAACTTAACAATATTTCACACATAGTTGATACCTACTTTTTGAATTACTTGTAGGCGAAAAAACTAGAGAAAAAATGGTATATTTTCTCATGTTCCTTAGCTATAGCTCAAATTCCTAAGAAAAATTTTTGATGGCAAACCACAGATTCGTGATCAGCATCCTAAAAAATCTAAACTACCTCAAAATTTGTTTTCAAGAAACCACCTAATGACTGGACTAGTGTTGAAAGTATAAAAGCGTATTTTGGTAATTAGAACTTACATTTTCCACTTCAATTGTGACATTTTTATTGTTTCTGTCCTGGTCCTGAAAAAAGAAAACTACTTATTTGAAAGTATATGGATGTACTATGAGGTAATCACCTTCAACAGTTCACTTAACCTATCTTTAGTCATAGTAGACAGAATACGAAGTGGATTATTAACATTTCCATATCTTATCAGTCTGTTTGCACAGGTAGATGGTGGATAGTGTCATATATTTAGTCATGGTAGGTACATACATACATCGTATTATTTCAATTCCCATTTCTCATGAAAACTAGTTGGGAACAACACTCAAAAGCACTATGAAACGATTAATATCACACACCTGAGGTTGAGGAACTTTCTACTAACTGGTATAAACAGATAAACGATTGTCGATTGCATTACAAGTTGTATGGAATACAATAACATTAATTTTATAAACAAAACAATTATACGAGCGTCGGTCGATGTTTCCTCAATGACTTTGATTGAGTGAGAGTAGGTGATACCTACTTATTGTTCGATATACTTATACAGGGTGTTTATTAATATGGCACGAAACTTCGAGGTCATATTTTATGGATCGAAATAGGAGAAAAAGTTCATATGAACATATGTCCGGAAAAGATTCGTTTTCAAGATACAGGGTGTTGGAGTTTCTTGAAAGAATCGCTTCCCTCCGCTCGTTCCGCAAAATGCCATCGTCACTCACGTTTGCTAACTAGTTACGTGAATATCTATATTAAACTCTTCATCGGTCCGCTTTTGATAGAACCATGGGCTATTTTTTGGACCATGTTACCATATGGTCACATTATATTCAAAAGCGTCATTCTTTATTCCCCGTAGTTTTTCGATTCACAGGCAACGAAACCATCTGATAACAAACAAGCTTAGGAGAGGGTACCAACAAACAAATCAATTTCGCGCCATCTTAGGCTGGCATCAGTTTGATATTTTATGATTTGTGTCAATTTTTCAGGTTTCAGGTACAGGGCTAGGTTTATTAATGTGAACCCCCCTCTATATCTTTTTAATTTTCCACCTATTCGAAAAATTTAAAGACTGATTTTATACAATTTCTCGCACAGATTTCACTCATTTTGACAATGATGCAATATCTATTCAAATATACAGGGAATACAGAAATGAATATATTTTTCAAATGGAACGCCCTGTATATTTCGATAAATTTTAATTCCCTAAATCATCCTGATTTCAAGTATGATGCAAATGTATGGAATAAATTCATTACTCCAGAAATGGGCGACATTTGAAAAAATTCCAAAAGCACATGAGATTTCATTTTTGAAGCCTCATCTCATGATAACTGTGATATATTCAAATATGTAAATGGCAACACTGCCAGGAATAGACACCTGACGCTGTCAGTCAGACAAACGGGACAAGTCAATGTTGACAAGTGAAAGGGGACTAGGAGAAAACCTAGAGGCCGGGAATGATGTCGACCAGAATAAATTATGTTATTGCCTGAAGTAATAAGTGTTAATCGACGTGAATACATAACCGAAGTATTACGAAACCAATTCCTATAACAACAACACAAACATTACATGGTGGCAGTCGGTGAAAGCGACTGAGGTTATGTGCATGTTCCCGGTAAAAAGGAGCAGTGTGTGAAAAAACTGCAAAAAACTAAAAAAAAAAAGGGATTTAAAAAGAACTATGTTGAAGAGTTCTGGTGAAACAATTTGTTAAGAGAGACATCCAAACAAAGGAACAAATGACAAATAAAAATACTGCGATTTTCTACTTTTTGTGTTTTAAATCGTTTGTGATTGTCTGTGTGCTGTTTGATTTGTCTGCAGTAATAAGACCTGTAGAGTCTGAAACGAGGTGTGAAAATAATAGGAAAACCATTATTATGGCTGAAGAAATGAGATCTCCAGAAGTTTTCACTTTTCAAGGAAATGTGGCAGAGAAGTGGCGACTATGGAAGCAAAGATTTGAGTTGTATCTTTTAGCTAGTGGAAAAACTGAAAAACCGGATGATGTCAAGATAGCCATCTTACTGAATCTACTTGGAACACAAGGCATAATGATTTATAATACCTTTGAATACCTTCCAAATGAAGATAAGACTAAACTGGTCATTGTATTGAAAAAATTTGACAATTATTGTGAACCATTATGCAATATAATATATGAACATTTTAAGTTTTTCAAGCGTGACCAGGCACCAGATGAAACGGTAGATCAGTTTATAACAGCTCTCAGACAACTAGCTACTTCATGCAAATTCCAAGAAAAAGATGTCATGATTTTAGATCGAATTGTTCTATGAATCAGTGACAAAAGAATTCAGGAAAAATTATTACAATATCCTGATCTAAAGTTAACAGAAGCCATCCATATTTGTAGAACTATGGAAAATAGTGCACTTACTCAAAAGGAAATGGCTAAAGAGACAGTATTGGTGAGTGAAATAAGCAAATACTCTCAGAGACAAACTTCATTGAACAATAGTGACTATCAAAACCTCAATATGAGTGATGATGAACTAGTACAAGGTTGTTCCAACTTGTATTCTTATTCTGGACATTTAATCGAGACAATTGGACAAATATATGTAGACTGTTCATATGGTGAAGTGAATAAAAAACTTTTGTTTCATGTGCTCAAAGCCAAATCACCTTGTTCTATTTTGGGACTTAGTGCTGCAAAAGACTTGACAATAATAAAGACAAACAATATTTGTGGTAGTGTTGTGGACAATAATAATGAACTGAATGACATTTTAATAAGACATAAACTAGTTTTTGAAGGAATTGGCCAAGTTGATAGACTGTATAACATAACTTTATCTGATAATGCTATCCCATGTACTAGTGCACCTAGAAAGTTGCCTATTGCACTAAAAAATAAGGTTAAAGATAAACTTCATGAAATGGTATCACAAAAAATCATCATCCCAGTTACTGAACCTACGGAATGGGTCCACCCAATTGTGGTTGTGCCTAAACCAAACGGGGACGTGAGAATTTGTATGGATCCTCGTAATTTAAATAAGTTCATTCGTCGTGAGTTATTCAAAATTCCTACACAGGAAACTTTGTTTTCTGAACTGTCAGGTGCTAAAGTGTTCACATTACTTGATGCATCTTCTGCCTTCTTGCAGATACCTTTGAGTCATCAAAGTTCTCTATTGTGTACAATCACAACAAATTTCGGGAGATATAGGTATTTACGTTTACCATATGGCATTTCATCTGCACCCGAGATATTTCAGAGATTTATGTTCGAAACATTAGAGGGCCTACCTGGTGTTATATGTTATTTTGATGACATTTTGATATTCGGTAGTGATCTTGAGGAACACAACCACAATTTAGATAGAGTTTTACAAAAAATAGAGCAGAGTGGTCTCACCCTGAATTTAAAAAAATCAAAATTTGCAGTAAATCAACTGAACTTTTTAGGTCATGTGCTTAGTGCTAATGGTATTTCTCCAGATCCCAGAAAAACAAATGCTATCAGCGAAATGAAACCACCAGAATCTAAGAAAGATCTACAAAGATTTTTAGGCATGATCGTATACTTGTCAAAATTCATACCAAACCTTGCCCAAAAAACGAGTGCACTCAGGAAACTGCTGAGCAACAGAGCTGATTGGCTGTGGACCGAAAATGAACAGTTATGTTTTGACAAAATAAAAACTTTGATCACTTCTGCTACAAAATTGTCTTATTTTGACACAGAAAAAACAACCACATTATCAGTTGATGCTAGTCCATATGAAATAGGTGCTACAATAAGCCAGGATGGAAAACCTATAGAATTTGCATCAATATCCCTCACACCAACACAGCAAAGGTATAACCATATCGAAAAGGAGTTGCTTGCTGTTGTGTTTGGTTGTGAAAGGTTCCATTATTACCTGTTTGGGAATAAATTTCGAATCGAAAGTGACCATCGTCCACTTTTAGGATTGCTAAAGAGACCTTTAGATGAATTATCACCCAGAATTCAAAGGCTTGCTATCAGGTTACTTCGGTATCAATTTGAGATGATATTCGTCCCAGGAAAGAACATGCAGTTAGCTGACACTCTGAGCAGAGATCCTACTGTTGAAAAAATCAATACAGATTATTTGGAATCCAATCTCAGAGTATATTCGGTATTGACAACTTCAAAGGAGAAGGAAAACACACTGATAAATGAAACTAACACTGACAAAATTCTATACCAAATCAAATGCTATACTGCCAGTGGCTGGCCAAAACACAAAAAAGATGTTCCTTCAGAGTTGAAAAAATATTGGGACATAAAGGATGACATTTATTGTCACCAAAACATCTTATTTTTCAAGAAACGCATAATAATTCCAAGAAGTTTACAAGGAGAGTTTTTAAATGTGATACATAGTTCTCATCAAGGAGTTGTCTCATGCAAGAAGAGGGCTCAAAACACTATATACTATCCAGGAATATGTGCAGACATAGAAAAACTTGTTCTGAGTTGTGAAACTTGCCAGAGGTATTCGAAAAGCAACCAAAAAGAACCTCTTACACCACATGAGGTACCCGACTTACCTTGGAAAAAGATTGGAATTGACTTCAAGGCTCTGGGAACTCAGAATTTCTTAGTAATTGTAGATTACTTTAGTAAATTTACTATTGTCAATAAACTGACGTCCAAAACTGCAGATAGTGTTATATCCACTTTGAAAAATATATTTGCAATCAATGGTTTGCCATTTGAGATTTTCTCAGATAATGGGCCCCCTTTTAACTCCTTGGAATTCAGAGCTTTTGCCAGAAAATATCATATCGAACTTGCAACCTCCAGTCCACATTTTCCACAATCCAATGGGATGATCGAGAGGACGATACAAACTGTCAAAGGGTTATTGTCCAAAGCATATGAAAACAAACAAGACCCTTTCCTAGCAATCCTAAATTACAATGTTACTCCAAAGTTGGACATGCCAGCGCCCAGTTTATTGTTGATGGGAAGAGAACTCCGGACCACCTTGCCAGTTAAATTGGAAATTTTGAAACCCAAATTTCCAACAGATGGAATACAAAATGTACTGAAAACCAGGCAAAAAGAACAAAAGAAATATCATGACAAAAACAGCAAAAAGTTGTCAGAACTCAACCCAAGACAGCCAATATTAGTTCAGGAAAACATGAGGAATTGGAAGCCAGGTATAGTTTTGAATAAATCAGGACCAAATGACTATACAATCCAAGTTGGGCAGGCAGAGTATAGAAGAAATAGGCAACAGTTGAGACCATTGAGATTAGCCACACCCCCAGCAGCTGTTGTACATCCAGAAAACGAGGCTTTCACGTTAGAGCCTTCGTTCCCAAGGTTGGAAACCTCCAATAAGATAAAACCAACCATTCCTGAGGATAGTCCAAGGTTGGAGTCAAGAAACAATCAGAGTCCTAAGTTAAGAAGATCTCAAAGCCCTGAGAAAAATTCAAAATCTATATCAATTGAGATGC